GGGGGGGGTGTGATCTGGGGGGCTATGAGGGGCTGATTTGGGGGTCTCCCCCCTCCCAGGCCACGCTGAGGTGGGATTAGGGAGCTCTGGGGTGGGATTTTGGGGGCTCGCTGTCGTGTGATTCGGGGGTCTTTTCCCCCCCTTGGGCCATGCTCCGTTACTGCTCCCACCTGCTGAGGGTCTGGGGTGGGATTTGGGGTCTGATTTGGGGTCCCCCTCCCCAATTTGGGGGTCTTCCCCCCCCAGACCATGCTCCATTACCGCTCCCGCCTGCTGAGGACCCTCCACACCGTGGCCTTCGCCGGACTCTTCCTCAGCGGCTTCGCGGAGCAAACCCAGACCCTGGAGGTGGAGCTGATGGACCGCTACCGCGAGGACCCCGTGAGTGGGGGGCTCCAGGGGGGCCTGGGGGAGTCTCAGAAGGGAGTTTGGGGGGGTCCCAGGGGGGCCAGAGCAGGCACGGACCCTGGGGGTAGAACTGAACGGGCGAGAACCTTTGGGGTCTGGGGGGGTCTCAGGGTGTCCAGGGGTGGTTTGGGGGGCCCAGGGGGGTTTTATGGGGGGGGGTCCCAGCCCCTGTGACCCCCCTGTGCCCCCCCAGTACAACCCGACGGTGGAGGTGGTGCTGGAGCTGCGGAGCCGGCGGGTGCAGCTTTACAGGGCCCAGCTGAGGGTCCACGCCCACTTCAGTGGGCTCAGGTAAGTGAGAGGGGGTCTGGAGGGACCCCCAAACCCAAATCTTGCCCCCCAACCTGCCCCCAGACACAAAATTGGACCCATGATCTGCCCCTGGCCCCCCAAACCTGCCCCCAGCCCCACCCCCCCGTGTCCACACCCATGTCCGTGGGCTCAGGTAATTTGGAGAGGGGTTTGGACCCCCAGCCCCCTGTCCCACCTGTCTCACTTGTCCTCTCTCACCTGTCCTCTGTCACCTGTGCCAGGTACCTGCTGTACCACTTCCCACTCACCTGTCTCACCTGTCTTACCTGTCCTTGTCTCTCCTGTCCTTGTCACACCTGTCCCTGTCTCACCTGTCCCTCTCTAACCTGTCTCCTCTCACCTGTCCCTGTCTCAACTGTCCTGGCTGACCTGTCCTGTCTCACCTGTCCCCTCACCTGCCCAGGTACCTGCTGTGCCACTTCTCACTCACCTGTCACACCTGTCTCACCTGTCCCTGTCTCACCTGTCCCTGTCTCACCTGTCCCTGTCACCTGTCCCTGTCTCACCTGTCCTGTCTCACCTGTCCCTGTCTCACCTGTCCCTGTCACCTGTCCCTGTCTCACCTGTCCCTGTCTCACCTGTCCCTGTCTCACCTGTCCCCCCTCACCTGTCCCTGTCACCTGTCCCTGTCTCACCTGTCCCTGTCTCACCTGTCCCTGTCTCACCTGTCCCTGTCACCTGTCCCTGTCTCACCTGTCCTGTCTCACCTGTCCCCTCACCTGCCCAGGTACCTGCTGTACCACTTCCCGCTCACCTGTGCCCTCCTGGGGGTCGTGGGCAATTGGACCCTCCTGGCTCTGCTGACCCTGGGGGGGTACCTGCAGTGGGGGAGGGGCAGCCCCTGGCCCCGCCCCCCCCGCGCCCCCCTGCAGGTGAGTCTGGGGGTGGGAGAGGGGGGGAGGGGTTTGGGGGAGGGGCTTTGCTCACCTGTGACCCCTCCCCCCCACAGGACACGAGGAGCGAAGGGACCGGAGACCCCCCTGGGGAGGGGGAGGGGCAAGGTGAGGGCCGGGGGGGGCTTTGGGGGGGCTTTCAGGGGGGAATAGAGGGGGAGGGGAGATTTGGGGGGCTAAGGGGGTGGGGGAGGGTCTGAGGGAGTTGGGGGGGCTTTGGGGGGTGGGGCAGAGGGTTTGGGGGGCTGGGGGGGAGGGGCTTTGGGACAAGGACTTTTTTGGGGGGTTTTGGGGGCAAAAAATGGGGGGTTCGGGGGATTTTTCATGGGGGAGGGGAGGTTTTGGGGAGTCTTAGGGGGGATTTGGGGGGGTGTTAAAGTGATTTCCCCCCCCCAGATTCCTCAGAATGCCCCCAGAGTTCGGAAGAGCCCGAAATTGTGGGACCCTCGGAGCCAGACGAAGGTGGGGGAGGGAGGGGCCCTGCACCCCCAAAAACACCCCCAAATTCCCCTCCCTGGGCTGGGGGAGGGGCAGGTTTGGGGGGAGGGGCCCACATTTGGGGGGGAGGGGCAACGATTTGCAGGGAAGGGGCCAAAATTTGGGGGGACACACCCAGGTTCTGTGGGGAGGGGCCCGAAATTCAGGGGAGAACCCCCTGATTTTGGGGTGGGGGCCCCGGATTTGGGGGGGAACACCCAGATTATGGGGGGGGGGGGCGGGGGGCTCAGATTGCCGGTAGGGCCCCCCCAGGTTTGGGTTGGGGGTCTCACAGCCCTTCCACCCACCAGATCCCCCCCTGCTCGTAGCCGCAAATGCCCCCCCCCAAGGTAAGGAAGAGGAGGAGAGGTGGGGGATGAGGGGGTCGGGGACAGGAGGGGTCACCCTCACGGCCCCCCCCCTCCCCCCGGAGCGCCCCTCCCCCCGCCAGCGCCATCTCTGCTCCAGCTCCTGAACCCCCTCCCCAAATTAGGGGGGACCCCAATAAACGCCCCTCCCCCACCTCCAGTGGGCGTGGCCTCGGTTTGGGGAGGGGGGGAGGGGACGCTGACCCCCATTTTGGGGGGGGATGGGACCCCCTGGGTGGGGGGTGGGGGTAAAGGGGGAGACTCTCAGGTGGGGGGAGGAGAGGTGGGGGGGACCCAAAATCCGCCTGGACCCCCTATATCTGCCCCAGGACCCCCCAAATCCACCCCAGGACCCCCCAACACCCCCCTCCTGACTCCCTCCCGTCCCCCCCAACCCTCTTAGGACCCCTTCGAAATGCCCTGCAGGATTTTCGGGTCAGTTTAAGAGTCTCGGGACCACCTTAAGGACCTCGGGACCTTTTGGGGGTCCTTTGCTCACATTTTAGTGCCGCTTTCAAGGTTTTTTTCGCACCATTTTGGGGCCGTTTCGGGTTATTTTCGGCTCCTGTCCCGTTTCCGCGCTCGGGACGCGATCGCGTCTCGCTTTCTGTCCCCCCCGGGCCGCCGTCACCGGGGCCGCTCACGTGACCGGCGCGCCGGCTGTCACGTGACCGGCCGGGCCGTGATGGCGGCGGGCGGCGAGGCCGGGCCCGGCCGGGCCCTCGAGGCGCTGCTGGAAATGGGATTCGGGGCTCGCCGGGCGTGAGAGACCGACCGGGGGCACCGGGGAGGGAACGGGGTGAAGCGCGGGGCAACAGGGGAGGCGGCCTGGGTACTCCCTGGGTACTCCCCGTCGCTCCGGTAACCGGGAGAGAGGTTTTGGGATGCGACACGGGACACCGGGAAGGGACTCAGGGTATCCTGGGATGGGCTCCGGTAACGCGGGGAGAGGCTTCGGTAACCGGGAGAGTCGCCCTGGGGACCCCCAAGAGGGTCCCGGTGGCTCCGGTAACCGGGAGAGGGGTCGAGGGGGGGCTCCGATAACCGAGAGAGGCGCCCCAGGATGGGACCTGGAGGGAACACGGAACACGGGGAAGAGGCTCCGGTAGCTCCGGTAACCTCGGGAAGGGAGTCGGGAGGGGTCCAGGTGGCTCCGGTGACAGGGACAGGGGCCCTGGGATGGGACCCGGTAACCGGGGGGGCCCCGGCGGAGTCCCGGTGTTAACGAGGGGTCCCCGCAGGGCGAAGGCGCTGGCGCTGACCGGGAACCGCGGGGTGGAACCGGCCATGGACTGGTGAGGGGGACCCCCGAAACACCCCAAAAGTGCCCGCGACCCCCAAAAACTCCCTAAAACCCATCCGGGACCCTCCAAAACACCCTGCAGGACCCCACCGGAACCCCCCAAAATCCACCTGTGACACCCCAAAAAACACCCGGAACCCCCAACCCCCTTCCCGGACCCCTTTGAGACCCTCCCAACCTCCCCCAAATTCCCCAGGACCCTCCTGAGACCCCCCCAAGCCCCCCTGACCCCCCCGTTCCCCCCCCAGGCTGGTGGCCCACGAGGACGACCCCGACTCGGACTCAGACCCTGAACTGCCCCCAGGTTTTGGGATCCCCGGGGGGATCCCCCCGAGTTTGGGGGGGCCCCGACAGCCCCAGGAGGAGGACGAGACCCAGAAGTGAGTGTGGGGGTCACCCCCAAATGTGGGGGGTTGGGGGGGGGCTTGGGATTTGAAGGGGGGGGTTCCCTTGGGTTTGAGGGTGTCTTGGGTTTGGGGTTTTGGGGGAGCCCCCGGGTTTGAGGGGTGGATTGGGGGGGTTTCTCCCTGGGTTTGGGGCTTCAGGGGGGTGTCCCAGATTTCGGGGTGGCCCCCAGGTTTCTGTTGGCTGCAGGACAGGAGCAGGGGGGGCTTGGTGGTTGGGGGTTCAGGGAGGGTGTCCCCAGTGGTTTTGGGGGGTTCAGGGGGGTGTCCCAGTCCTGGGGAGTCCCTCCCTGATGTCGGGGTGTCCCCCCCGATGTCGGGGTGTCCCCTCCTGATGTCGAGGTGCCCCCCATGCTCCTGGTGACCTGGGCAGGAGCGGGAGCGGCGGCACCAGGGGGGTTCAGTGTCCCCCCAAGTTTGGGGGTTCGGCGAGGGTTTCCTCAGTGGTTTGGGGGGTTCAAGGGGGTGTCCCAGTTTCAGGGTGTCCCCCCCCGATGTCGGGGTGCCCCCCAGGCTCCTGTTGGCCATGGAGCAGGAGTGGGAGCGGTTGTGCCGGTGGGGTTCAGTGTCCCCCAAGTTTGGGGGTTCAGAGAGGGTTTCCCCCGGGGTTTTGGGGCCTCCCCTGTTTCGGGGTGTCCCCCCCTGATGTCGGGGTGCCCCCCAGGCTCCTGTTGGCGGCGGGGCAGGAGCGGGAGCGGCGGCGCCGGGGGCAGGAGCTGTCGCGGCTGCGGGAGTGGCGCCGGGACGAGGAGCGGCGCCGGGCGGCCGAGGAACGGCGCCGGGACCACGCCGAGGAGAGGGCGGCCCGGTGAGGGGGGGGCCCCAAAAATCCCGGGAGACACCCCAGGAATCCAACCCGGAGTCCTCCGAGCTCCCAACTTCCTTCCAGACCCTTGGGGTCACCCCAAAACCTCCAGAGACTCCCCCCAAACCTTCCCCTCAGGCCCCCACGGTCACCCCAAAACCTTCAGGCCCCCCCCTAAACCCCCCCCTTAGACCCCCAAGGTCACCCCAAAAACTTCAGACCCCCCCCAAACCTCCCCCTTAGGCCCCCAAGGTCACCCCAAAAACTTCAGACCCCCCCCAAACCTCCCCCTTAGGCCCCCACGGTCACCCCAAAACCTTCAGAGAACCCCCCCAAACCTCCCCCTTAGACCCTCAGGGTCACCCTCAGGGACCGTCCAGACCCTTGGGGACCCCTCAGAGTCACCCCAAAACTCCAAGGGACCCACAAAACTCCCCCCCAGAGCTCTGGGGACCCCCAAGCCCTCCCCTCTTTAGACCCCCAGAGTCACCCCAAAACCCTTGGGGACCTCCCTAAGTCCCCCCAGACCCCCATGGACCCCCTCACAACCCCCCTTAGACCTCCCCAAAACCCCCGGGGACCCCCCAGCCTCTCCCCAGACCCCCAGGATCACCCCAAAACCTCCAGAGACCCCCTCCCCCCAAACCTCCCCCAGGGACCCCCCAGACCCCCCCCAAGCCCCTCCAAAATCCAGGAATTTCCCCCCAGGCAGCGGGTGAAGGAGAAGATCGAGCGGGACAAGGCCGAGAGAGCACAGAGGGTGAGAGAGGGGGGATCCCAAAGGATTGGGGGGATCCCAAAGGATTGGGGGGGATCCCAAAGGATTGGGGGGGATCCCAAAGGATTGGGGGGATCCCAAAGGATTGGGGGGATCCCCAGGGATTGGGGGGGATCCCAAAGGACTGGGGGGGATCCCAAAGGATTGGGGGGATCCCCAGGGATTGGGGGGATCCCCAGGGATTGGGGGGATCCCAAAGGATTGGGGGGATCCCCAGGGATTGGGGGGATCCCAAAGGACTGGGGGGGATCCCCAGGGATTGGGGGGATCCCAAAGGATTGGGGGGATCCCAAAGGATTGGGGGGATCCCCAGGGATTGGGGGGGATCCCAAAGGACTGGGGGGGATCCCAAAGGATTGGGGGGATCCCAAAGGATTGGGGGGATCCCAAAGGATTGGGGGGGATCCCCAGGGATTGGGGGGTATCCCAAAGAATTGGGGGGATCCCAAAGGACTGGGGGGGATCCCAAAGGATTGGGGGGATCCCAAAGAATTGGGGGGATCCCAAAGGATTGGGGGGGATCCCCAGGGGTTAGGAGGGTCCTGAGGGATTGGGGGGATCCCAAAGGGATTGTGGGGATCCTTCTGAGACCCAGCAGATCCCACCGGGATCGAGGGGGATCCAGCAGGACCTGCCAGGACCCAGCAGGTCCTGCTGGGATCACATGGGGGGGGGGGTGGTCGAGTGGATCCCCAACCCCTCCCTCCCCCCAGTTCGCCCCCTCCCCCGCCGAGCCCCCCCCCCAGACCCCTCCCCCCGGGGCGGAGCCGCCGGCGCCGCGGGAATACGACGAGTGCCGGATCCAGGTACGGAGCGGGGGGATCCCCCGGGATCTGGGGGGATCCAGAGGAGTCCTGAGGGATTGGGGGGGGAGATCCCAAGGGATCCAGGGGCTTCCCAAGGGATCGGAGGGGTCCTGTGGGAATACAGCCAGTGCCGGATCCTGGTACAGAATGGGGGGATCCCAAAGGATTCAGGGGGGAATCCTGAAGGATTTTTGGGGGTATCCAGGGGGGTCCCAATGGATTGGGAAGGATCCAGGGGGGATCTGGGTGATTGGGAAGGATCCAGGGGGGTCCTGAGGGATTGGGGGGTCCTGAAGGACGTTGGGGATCGGGGAGATTCAGGGGGGACTGGGTGGGATCCTGAGGGATTGGGGGGGGACCACCTGAATTATCCAGGGAGAGCTCCCGAGCAATCTGGGGGATCCCAAACATTCTGGGGGACTGGGGGGGGGGGGGGAACTGCCAACATCCCAGGGGCATCAGGGGGGATCCAGCGGGGTCCCAGGACAGTCCGGGGGGGGGTCGTGAGCATCCGTGGGGGAAATCGGGGGGGGGGGGCGGATCCTGAAGGATTCAGGGGGTCCCAAGGGCTGCAGGGGGGATGTGGGAGATCCCAAAGGATCCAGGGGGACCCGGGGGGGGGTCTCAGGGTGCTCTGCCCCCCTCCCCAGGTCCGTCTCCCGGACGGGCGGGCGCTCACGCAGCGGTTCCGGGCGCGGGAGCCGCTGGCGGCCGTGCGGCTCTTCGTGGAGCTCAACCGGGGCACTGGGAGCACTGGGAGCACTGGGAGCGCCGGAGAACCCCCCCAGGGGGGGCCCCAGAGCCCCCCGGAGCCCTTCAGCCTCCGCACGGCCTTTCCCAAGAGGCTCTTCACCGAGGAGGACATGGAGAAACCCCTCCAGGAGCTGGGTGAGGGATTTGGGGGGGGGGGCTGGAATTGTTTGGGGGACCCCAAGGAGGGTCGGGGGGGGGTCTCTGAGTGGGTTTGGGGGGTCCCTGGCAGGGACTGAGGGGATTCTTAGAATGTTTGGGGAGTCCCTGCAATGTTTGAGGGACCCTGAGGGGGTTTGGGGGGTCCAGGGGGGGGTTTGGGGAGGGGTCTCTTGGGGAGTTCCAGGTGGTTTGGGAGAATCTGGAAGGGGTTTTAGAGGGTCCCTGGGGGAATTGGGGGGTTCTTGGAGGGTCCTTGGAATGTCTGGAGGGACTTTGGGGGGTCCTTAGGGGGGTCTGGGGGTCCTTGGAGGATCCTTGAAATGTTTGGGGGTGTCTCAAGGGGATTTGGGGGGGTCCCTGAGGAGGCTGGGGGGGGTCCTTGGGGTGTCTGGGGGGTCCTTGGAATGTTTGGGGGTCCCCAAGGGGGGTTTGAGTGTTTGGGGGCTCCCAGGTTCCTGGGGCAGTTTCAGGGGGGTCTCTGGGGGTCTCTCAGGCTTTGGGGGTCCCACTGTTGCCTCCCCCCCCCCCCCCCCCACGGTCTGGTCAACTCCGCCGTCGTCATCGTGGCCAAGAAGGAGGGGAGCTGAGGAGGGGGAGGGGCCTGGAGACCCCCAAACCTTCCAGCGGGGACCCCCCCAGGGACCCCCCCACCCAAATAAACCTCAGCTGTGTCGTCCCCCCCCAAAATCCTGTCTCTGTGTCCCCCCCCAAACACACAAGTGGGGGAGGGGGGCAAAGCATCTTCACTGGGGGGTCTCACCCCCTTGTTGCCCCAAAGGAGGGGTCCTGGGGGTTTTGGGGGGTCCTGGTGATATTGGAGGGGTCTGGGGACCCCAACACCCCCCCCCCGAGACCCCCAGACCCAAATAAACCTCAGCTGTGCCCTCCCCCAAAAACAAAATTAGGAAGGCAAAGCAGCTTTATTGGGGGTCCCCCCCCTTGTCACCCTCGGGGGGGGGTTCCGGAGGTTTTGGAGGAGCTCCTGGGGGGGTCCCAGCCCCTCCTCAGGGCTGCTTGGGCACCTGTTTCCCCACGGGGTCCCAGAGGATGACGACGCCCCAGGCCCCCACACCTGAGGGGGGGGACAAGAAGGGGTCACCGGGCTGCCCCTCCCCCCCGGGTCACCCCCCGCCCTCATTAGACCCTTTTCACCCCTCCCTCGTTCCTGTGGGGCCCCCAAACCCCCTCTTATTTTGATCCCCGGTTCTAAGACCCTCCCAAGGCCCCCCCCCCCATCAGTAGAGACCCCCAAACCCTCCCCTAATGGGACACCCCGTTGCCATGGCAACCCCAACCCCCCTTTTTCGGGACCCCCCCCCCCCCAAATCCCCCGATTTCGATGGCCCGGTCCCAAGACACCCCTCGTTACCATGGCAACCCCCACCCTCCCTTTTAAATACTCCGGGACCCCCCCGCTTCCTTCGGAACCCCCAAACCCTCCCCCGAGCCCTCCCATGAGCCCCCCACCCCCCCCATGCCCCTCCCGTTGCCATGGAAACGCCAACCCGCCCTCCCTCCCTCTTCCTTATCACCCACACCCCCAATTCCCCCCCCCCAAAACCTCCCCCGTCGCTCACTGATGGCGAAGGTGATCTGAGCGATGGTGCCCATGGACGGCGGGATCCCCCTTTTCATGCTGCTCCGCGGGCCCTGGTACAGCCACGCCGCCGCCAGGAGCAGCCCCGCGCCGCACACCAAGCGGCAGCTCAGGCAGCCCCCGAAGAGCGGCCGCGGCTGCGCCGGCGCCGGCCCCGACTCAGGCGAGACCTCCCCGGGGCGTGACATGGCGGCGCCGGAAGAGGCGCCGGAAGTGCGCGCCGCTAACTCGGGTCCGTGTAGCGCTGGTCACGCGGCTCCGCGTCCCGCCACGAAGGTTCCGCCTGATTAACGGGGGGAGTTAACGGAAGGTTTTAGGGGCGTCGTTACCGAAGGCCTCCCGGTGCTGACGTCACTCCCGCCGCAGCGGGGCCTGAACTGCCGCTGACCCCGCGCGCAGTGAGGCCTTCCCGTGAGGGGACACGGCGGCGCCGGAAGTATGTAACGTGAAACGAGTCCGTGCGTTGTAACACCAGTCAGTTAAACCAGTCGGTGAGCAAACCGCGCCCCGCACTGACGGTTCCGCCTGGCAGTTACCGGGGGTCGTTACCGGGAGTCGTTACCGGGAGTTGGGGGGGGGGAGGGGTGAGTCGCCCGGTGATGACGTCACTTTCGCCACGGCACGGGCCGCCGCGCCACGTTCTCGTCGGTCTCAGCCGCCTCCCGCAGAGCCGCCATGATCAGCTCGTTGTGGCGGCGCCGCTCCGCCAAAACCTGCGAGTTCGCCTCGGGAAGGGCCTGGAAAGGGGGACACAAAAGGGGTCACGGGGGTCTCCCGCCCCCCACGGGAGTCCCGAGGAGCCGTCGGCGGTACCTTGAGGCTGTCCAGGCGGTCCTGCTCGCCCCCGGCCATCGCCACCCAGAAAAACAGCCCCAGCGCCACCGGGGCGGCCCCGCGGGCGAGCGCCAGGGCCCAGCGAGCGGCCGCCATTGAACCCCCCGCGGCAACTTCCGGGGAGGGGCCGCCCTGGAGGGGCCGCTCTGGCCGGGCGGGATCATAGAGAGGGGATGTGGGAGGACCGCGGGACACCCCCACACAAAGGAAGGGGAGAGGAGACCCCTAAAAAGAGGGACTGGGGGGTCCCTGGCGAGGGGTGGAGGGTCCTTGGAATGTTTGGGGGGGGGTTGAGAGGAGCTTGGTCGGTCCCTGAGGGGGTTTGGGGGTTACTTGGAATGTTTGGAGAGGGTTCCTGGGGGAGGTCTTTGGACTATTTGGGCGGTTCCTGGAGGGGTTTGAGGGGTCCTTGGAATGCCTGGGAAGGGGGTCATGGACCTCCCCACCCACTGGGAAAAGGGCCCCGGACCCTCCCCCATCGTTGCGAATGGGATCGCGGACCCCTTCCTAGGAATGGAAGAAGGATCACGCCCCCTCCCCAGGAATGGGGGTGATGGATCCCCCCGACCACTGGGAAAGGGGTCACGATAACGAGGGTCGCGCTGGTAACGAAGAACGACACGAGAAAGGGGATTTTTGAGCACTTTATTAACGATTTTAAGATCCAAACCGGCCTCCCCGGAGCCCCTGCGGTGCCCGCGCGGTCCAGCGACGTCTCCCCGTCCCCATGCGGACCCTGTGGGGCAGAAAAGCGGCGGTGAAACGGCGGCCCCGGGACTCCTTGGAGCCCCCCGGGCAGGGTGGGTCTGTCTGTCTGTCCCGGCGTGTGAGGGTGGGACCGGCGGACGCGACCGCCGGCACCGAAGACTTCGCGCCGGTCTCTGCTTTCCCTCCGCACATCACAGGCCCCGGCACGGGACCGCCGGAGCCCGCCAAGAACGGGAGGAACCTTCCCGGTGATCCCCGAGCCGCCCCCCCAAAAACCGACCCTGCTCCAGACCCGCGGCCTCCCGGCGCGGAAAAGAGACCAAAACCCTGCGCCTGGTATTTATATACCCTCGGTTGTAGGCGGGGCCGCAGCGCTACCCACCAATCAGAGAGGCCTCCAATCAGAGGCGGAGGCGCGCGGGCACGGGCCAATGGAGACCCGTGGAGAGAGGGAAGGGCAGGGTTATGGACCCGGAAGTGAAGGCAAACCGGAAGCGGGTCCCTAAGACCACGTGGGAGCGCGATGGGGATTGGGGGGAAAATCAACCGGCCCCGGACGGTGAACGGAGGGTCCGGGAGGGTCCCGGGGGGGCCTGGTGGGGTCCGGGGGGACGAGAATAAACGTGGGGGTGTCGCGTGTTCCGGTGGGATCGGGAGGCGCGGGGTGGGGGATGTTCCGGTGCCCGTTAACCCCCTGTGCCCCTCCAGGAGCTCCGTAAGAAGCTGTTCAAGCGGCGGCGGGAGCTGGCGCGGGGGCGGCGGCAGAAGCGGCGGTGAGACACCCCCCCTACCCTTTCCCCCCGCGGTGCCTACCCAGCCGGTGCCGGTGGCTGAGGGGGGTCCCTGGGGTGTCTCCGGTGCAGGTCGGGCCCGGCGGTGTCGGTGCCGCCCCCGCTGTGGGGGAAGAGGCGGCGGAAGGAGCTGAAGCGGCTCCGGGGAGCGGCGAAACGGGGTGAGAATTCTGAAGGGGGGCACCAGGGGTGTCCCGCGGGGGGGTGGGACACGACTGGGGACATCTCTGACCCCCTCGCCGGTGTCCCCCCAGCGCTGGAGGCGGCGGCGGCCGCGGGGAAAAAACCGGAGATGGAAACGAGAAAGGGGAAAAGCGGCGACGTGGAGATGGAAGAGGAGGAGCCCCTGGGGACAGCGGGGACAGCCACGGGGACGGCAGAGACGCCCCCGGGGACATCCCTGGGCACCGGGGGCACCTGACCCGCACCGGGGTCACTGGTGTCCCCTCCCCCTCAGCAGTGGCACGGGTGTCACCTCCCTGGCACCGGTTTGTCACTGGGGTCACCAGTGTCACCTCCCCAGCACTGGGGCCACCTGTCCTTCACTGGGTCACCCGACCCTCCCCGGGGTCACCTGAGTCCCACCAGTGTCACCAGTTTGTCACTGGGGTCACCAGGGGGGCACCAGTGTCACGTCCCTCTCCCCAGTGTCACCGGGGGCACTGGGGACACCGGCGTCACCTTCTTGTCACCAGTTCATCCCCAGGGTCACTGGTGTCCCCTCCCCAGTGGCACTGGGGACACCTCCTGGTACCAGAGTCCCACTGGGGTGCCCAGTTTGTCACCAGGGTCACTTTGGGGGCTGATTCCCAGTTGTTGCTGCTTATTGTTATTATTTAATGATTCATTAAAATATTCCCGTTTATTTTCTTTGTCCATCGTTGTCGACGCCGTCCCCGGAGAACAAGGAGACCGGGGCTGGAAAACTCCCAGGTTGGGCTTTGGAGCCCCAGTGCCCCCAGTTCACACCAGTGACCCCAGCCTGTGTCGCCAGTTCAGACCAGTGACTCCGGTCTGTGTCCCCAGTCCCTTGCCACTGTCCCCAGTTCACACCAGTCTCCCCAGTTCACACCAGCAATCAAGTCGGTGGCTCTGTCTGTCTGTGTGTCTGTCTGAGGGGGAGAGGGGACACCCCATGGGGGGAAGGGGACACCCCAAGGGGGAGGAGGGGACACCCCTGGGGGGGCGCCTTTCCCTGTGACACCGGGGGGGGGCGGAACCTCCGCAGGGCGGAACGATCGTGCGCGGGCGCGGGGGGAGAGCGCGGGGTGAGGCCCCTCCCGGCGCATGCGCAGCCGCCCCGGCCCGGCCGCCGCCGCCATGTCGGCGCTGTGCGACCCCCCGGGCGGCGCGAGCCCCCCCAGACCCCCCCTCAGGTACCCCTGAGACCCCCCCGG